AATTTCAGAGGAGGCTTAGGTATTCCAAAATCAGTCCAGCCAGACAAGTAAATTTAGTGATGGGTTCTTGTAATGGTTGTTTGTTTAATGGGGTTGGGAATAACGGTCCTATTTCTTTTTCTTTTGTTTTTGGAGTCCCGGGGGGGGGGGGGGGATGTTTACGTGGTACGGGGGTTGTCCAAAGTGGGTGGTTTGGGGGGGAATTTTTCAAGTGTGGGATGAACTTTAGTTCTAGAAACTGTGATAAAATTAACTTTGAAAGGGGAGGTTAGGTGAATTTAAGGCAAGGTGAATTTTTATAAAATATGAAAAATCCAATTTCTATACCATTAGTTTGCTCATACCATGGTACAGGTGAACATATGTTGGGTACCAATAAAAGTACGGTGACAACTGCTTTTGTCAGCTATGAATGAGACGTTCAAGGAGGGAGATTGGAGTCAGGGAGTGATCTGGGTGAATTTCTTCTTTCTGATGAAGAGAAATAGGTTGTGTTGAGAAATTTCTTACAAAAGATGGATTTGTCGTTAATTCCATCAAAGAAGAAAGGAAAAAGAAGGAAGGGAAATGGGTGGGTAAGGAAGCTATTGGTTTTTATGAAGATTGTTAGTTGCAATATTAGAGGTCTAGGGTCGTGGAGAAAGAGAGCTGCAATTAAGGAATTCTTGGGTATAATTGGTTTGGATGTCGTTGTTTTACAAGAAGCTAAGCTGCAAGTTATTTATAGGAGAGTTACTAGTAGTATTGAGTTTTTTTTTCTACCTCTTGTGGGTTCTTTGGGTGTTATTATTTGAAATAAGAGGTCAGTTGATGTGGAAGAATCACTTGAGGGGGAGTTTACGATTTCAGTTATAATTAAGCTTAGGGATGGCGGTGACCGGTGGCTCATTGGGGTATATGGCCCTAACAAGCCTAGGGTGATGATATCCTTATGGGAAGAGTTAGTTGGGTTATTTGGAGTGCATAGTCCTAGGTGGTGCGTTGGGGGAGATTTTAATGTGATTAGGTGTCCTGCGGAGAAATTGAATGGAGCGCAGATAACTAAGAGTATGAGAGATTTTGACACATTTATTAGGGGAATAAAATTAAGGGATCCCGTTTGGCTAATGGTGAGTTTACATGATCTAATTTTAGAATAGAGTAAGAGGTTAGATAGATTTTTATTTATCGGGCAGTGGGAAGGTTGCTTTCCAGGGGTTAGGTACTTAGGTAGGAGGCTTTGTTTAGCGTGGTATCAAATCATTGTCCCATTGTTCTTATAGATTCTACGTTTAGGTGGGGTTCATGTCCCAATAGGTTTGAGAATATGTCGGTGGAGCATAGGAATTTTAGAGTAAGCATTAGAGAATGATGGGAAGAAGCTAGTGTTCAAGGATGGGAAGGGTTTAGATTTATGAAAGAGCTTGAGGTATTAAAACATAAGCTTAAGGTTTAGAAGAAAAAAGTGTTTGGGGATATTAGAGAGGTGGATTCAGTATATTGATAGAATAGAAGGGGATGGAGGAATGGATGGAGAGTTGAGGAGAGAGAGAAGTGAGCTTAGAATAAGTTTGAGGAGGTGGTATTCAAAGAAGAGGTTAGTATAAGACAAAAATCAAGGGTTAAATGGGTTAAGTTGGGAGAAAATAATTCAAATTTTTTTCATAGAGTGACGAATGGTAATAGGGTGAGGAAATACATTAGTAAGCTGGAACTTGAGGATAGATCTATAATTGAGGATGAGGGTATCATTGAGAGCGAGAATATCAGTTTTTTTGCTAATTTGTATTCAAGTCATGGTGGTGATAAACCTATTATGAGGGGTCTTAAGTGGTGCCTAATTGATGGGAGTGTTACAGGATGGATGAAGAGACCTTTTGAGGTAAGGAAGTTAAGGAAGCTGTTTTTGAATGTAGTAAGGAAATGGCTCTTGGGCTGGATGGGTTTACTATGGCCATTTATCAGGTGTGTTGGTGTATGGAAAGATGATTTGATGAGAGTTTTTGAGGAGTTCTTTCATAAGGGAATTATCAATGGAGTGACAAATTCTACATATATATGCCTTATCCCTAAAAAAGTTAATTCTATGAAGATTAAGGATTTCAAACCTATTAGTTTAGTTACTAATTTGTATAAAATTATTTCTAAGGTTCATTCTATGAGGTTAAGGGAGTGTATGGGTGACAATATTTCAAAATATCAAGAGGCTTTTGTGCAAGGGAGACATATTATGGATGTACAGCTGGAAAGGGGACGAAGGGGTTGTATTGAAGATTGATTTTGAAAAAGCTTGATGATTATGTGGATTGAGATTTTTTGGATATTGTGTTGGAAGGAAAGGGCTTTTGTGGAAGATAGAGGAAGTGGATTAGGGGTTGTGTGGAATTAGTCAAATTTTCAATTATTATGAATGAGAAACCAAGGGAAAGATTTAAGGCTTATAGATGACTCCTTGCTTGAGTCCTTTGTCCCCTTTCTTGTTTACTCTAGTGATTGATGGATTAAGTAGATTGATGGAAAGGGCAAAAAGATGTAATTCAGTGGATGCGTTTGTGATAGGAATGGAGAGGATTATAGTTTCTCATTTGCAATTTGCAGATGACACTAGTTTCTTTTCTTCGAGGGATAAGCAGAAAATAAGGAATTTAAATATGATTGTTGATTTGTTAGGTATAAGTTCTGGACAAAAGGTTAACATAGAAAAATTATTGTGGGTATCAACTCTAGTCAATAGAAGATCGAGAGGTGGATGTACAGTGGGTGAGTGGCCATTAAGATACTTGGGGATTAAGATACTTGGGGCTTCCTTTGGGTGGTAACCCATTATCTAGAAATTTTTGGGACCCTATGGTTGAGAAAGTGGGGATGAGGTTAGATGAATGGAAGAAATCTTTCATTTATAGGAGAGGTAGATTAACATTGATTGAGTTTGTTTTGTTTAGCATTCCAATATATTTCATGTCTCTTTAGAATGTTGGGGAGTGTGGCTAAGGAAGTTGAATGTTTGATGAGAGATTTTTAATAGGAAGGGGTAAGAGAGGGACGGAAGGACCATTTGATTCATTGCGAAGTGGTGAGCTGGACAAAAAATAAGGGGGGTTATTCAATAGGGAATTTAGTAAAGATGAATGTAGCTTTGGTTGGAAAATGGCTCTAGAGATTCCCATTGGAACAAGATTCATTGTGGCATGTCGTTATCAGGAACAAGTATGGGATCCAAGCTATTGGGTGGGATGCTAATGGTGTTGAAAAGGGTAATTTTCGGAGTCCATGGAAGTTTATCTCTTAGGGATTACCTTGCTTTTGTTAAAGGGTTAAGTTTATTGTTCGTAATGGAACTAGAGTGCGGTTTTGGGAGGTACATGAGTGGGTGAGTTTTCTCTCTCTAGTCTTTTCCCTCGATTGTATCATGTTTCTTCTTATCATGGTGTTTGGGTTGCGTCTATGATTTGGTCATATTCTCTTCCAATTTCTTGGGACTTTGATTCTCGTAGGAGTCTTAATAATAGGGAATGTTTGGAATTGATGAATCTTGTTCCTATGTTTTCTAATGTTATGTTGGTTCCTAATTTGGAGGATAGAAAGTATTAGATTGGTAATCCAACAAGTATTTTTTTTCTTGTAAATCTTTCTTTGAGTCTTTAATTGACAATCCTTTAGTTCCTTCTTTTGAACCATCACCAAAGATTTGGAAGGCTAAAGTGCCTTTGAAGGTGCAAGTTTGCACATGGATTATTGCCTATGGTAAGGTCAGTACAAATGAGTTTCTTAAAAAGAGGAGATCAAATTTTTGTCTTCAACTGCAATAGTGTGTTATGCGTAAAGGCAATTATGAAAGTGTGGATCACTCATTTTTTAATTGCCCTTTGCCACGAGTTCTTTGGAATAACCTTTTTAACCTTGTGAATTTTTCTTGGATTGCACCAAGGGACATGAATTCTATGTTTTGGTTAAATAATGAGGATTATGTGGGAAATAGGAGATGGAAGATTCTTTGGCATAATGCATTTTTGCCTACATTATAAATGCTTTGAAAAGAAAGGAATGCAAAAATTTTTGACGATAAATGTGAAGAAGTTGAGGGATTATGGGATAGACTTCATTTCTTGGCTTCTTTTTGGACTTCAAAGACTAAGGAGTTTGATGACATCCCTCTTTCTTGTATTAGAGCTAGCTGGAAAGCCTCATGCGACTTTTAATTTGATTATTTTTTTAATTTTGTTGTTTTTTACTTGTTTGTGTTGGACTTCTTGTCCACCATTGTTTCGACTTTTAGTTATTAAAAAAAAAGTGTTTCTTATACAAAAAAAAAAATCTAAGAGGCCATTCTACTTTGATCCTTCAATTCAAGAAGAGAGTACTACCAAACCCACATCAGATTATGTGTAAACCGAGAATCTTGAAAAGACTTCTTTGAAGATTACTTGAACCCTAAACAAATCATCGTGGTTGATTTGTCCAAGTGAAGCTAATTGTCAAGACCTCGCACTAGGGTAATCCAGAGGGATAGATTTGAGCAAGAAACATTTAGCATATTGGTGGAGGTATAACTCTTTAACCTTGTAATCAATTTTGGGAAATTGTGGATTAGGTTAGGTGAACTGAGATCGATTCCATGGATTTTCTAGAGATGGTTTCCACACTAAATTGCTTTTGTTGTGAATTGTTGTCTCTTGCTTTAATTTAGCACACAGTTGCAATAGAACATACTTACCATGTGTTTGATGAATTAATTGATTGATTGTTGTATTTCACATCATCATCAATTTGGTTGAATTGGTGGTTGGGCTTGCTGGAGGGGGATAAGGTTGGAGGATTGGATTGTTGTTGTGATTTGGTGAATTCATATATATTGCATCCATTGATCCATGGGTTTTTCAATTGATGAGGGGTTCAATAAGCTTTAATTGACTAATTAACTGGTTATTGTAGTTGAATGATTTAAAATTGTTGTAGGTTTAATCGGTTAGTAATAGGAAGATCTGATTAAACTTTTCCCAATTTTTATTTTCCTGCTTGTGATGGCTCCTGAAGAGAGCTCTAGGAGCTCACCTTTCAGTGATGTCCCTGAGGAGGATATTCCTGAGATCGCTGAGAATCCAAAAGAGGAGCAGCAACCAGCTGGTGATGAGGCTACAACAGACATGGTGAAGGTGATCAGAGGTGACAAATTCACATCCGCCACTATCAGAGGGATAAAGTGGCTGCTATGGTGGTCGTACTGCAAAAGTGTTGGAGATCAGATATCTGCCTGAGCTCCAATATGTAAGCTGACTCTTGTCTTTTCCTTCAACTTTATTGTTTAAATGAATATGATTTTTTTGCTAAGCCTTCAGAATTTTACAAACTTTGGCCATGAGGAATACTGTTGCGTGGCCTCATTGGAAATACATGAAGTAGGTAGTGGACAGGGCGCATCCTGACTATGCATTTCAGGGATGCAGGATTTGGGGCTTTTATCTCCTTTCCTTTCATCCAAATGGGTCATTCATACACCCATATGCAAGCCGAGAGGTGGTTCCCCAACCCCAGCAATCTTCACTTGCCAGTGGGGGAGTTTGTCCCGAACTTGTATAACTGGTTAGCTATCCTTGGGATTAGTTTGGGAGTTGGCTTGGAGGGACAACGAACTTTCACTTTGAGGCATCTGTTGCAGATTCTACGACTAGGTGGCCATGTTGTGAGGACTGACGAGAAGATATTGATAACGAGCGCTGTCTGCAAGAGTCTGGATGTGCTACGAGCTCTGATTGTTGGTTCTGTTGGACATGCATGATTCCGCTACCTTTTCCTATTTGTGGTCAGTTCCCTATTTTTTAATAGTCAATTACTAATTGTTCACATCGAATCATATTAGGGCATTTGACTAGAAGGCATTCTCTTTTGGTTAGTTCTTATCATGTACGAGGGACTACTCGATCGATCATGTGGATGCACTTTGTGGCTTTTGGCAGTTCATTCTGGTAAGCATTTGAATGCTTTGGTGGAGTTTTTTTTGTCCTCATCTTTCTTCCAATTTATGAAATTCTATGGCTTGGAGCATTTTGATCTAAGCGCCCGACCATTCATTCTCGAGGGATACCCAAGAGCTAGGATCCCAGCATGAGAATGCCATTTTGCCAATGAATTCTCTAGGCTAGGCTTCTCTGAGAGTTCAGTTGGACTTTGATTGTAATGACCTAGCATTCAAGGATTAAGAGTACTGACAGGAAAGAGTGTGTGTGTGGTTAAGGGTTCGGGGTTCGGACAGCCAGATTAGGTAATTATAGTTTCAGAGGGTGTGCGAGAGGATTCTGGAAGTGGTTATGGTTTGAATTTGGAGTAAAAGCGTCACTGGTGAAGAGAAAACAAGCCGGAATGAATATCTGGACGAAGTAGGGTTAGAGTATATTGGGGAGTTAGGGGATTTGGATGAACTTCGTTGGTTTAATTGAAGGATAATTCAAGTACGAATAAATTAATTAGAATTTTTATAGCTTGTTATTTAACATGATTGAAAGTTTAAAAAAAATATATTTTTAATTAATTGTCAAAAATTGGCCAAAATTGGAAAAAGACCAAATTGCCCAAGAAGCTTCAAGCTTCTTCCTATGGTGCTAGGTGGCAAGTGGAGGCTTCTAATCTCTGCATGAGCTCCACAAAGCAGCTTGGGGGAGGGTTACTTAGCACTTGGAGTTGGAAGGGTTAAGGCTTAGTAAAAATCGTATGTGTGGGGGAGTGAGAGAGAGAGAGAGAAAACACATTTGAATTTTTGGGTTTTCCTAGGAGGCAACTTCTAACATCTAAAGGTATACAACAAGCTTTATTTGTAATGGTGAATCTCCTAATATAGTTAGATTTTGATTTGGGTTATTGTAGATGTATGAATTGGTGTTTTAAAGTAATGAGTTTTTTGTGTTTTTTAAATGGGTTTTGAGTTGTGGTTTGATCTAATTAATTAACTGGTATAATGTTGTTTCTGGCTATTTATGGAGTGGGTTGGTAGTAGTTTTGGGGGGTAGCCGTGGTTGGTGGCGGTGGTTTTGGGGGTCAAAGGCTAAAGGCTAGGGTTTGAAGCCATGGAAGTTTGATCTCTTCAAATTTTGTGTTTGGGCTTCAAAGGAGAGGTCCCTGTAGCCAAAATGGACCCTAGGAACTTATTTATGGCCTTTATAAATGGATTGGGAGGTTCTTTGAGGGGTGAAAACAAATGTTGCATGTTTGACTTTGTTTTTAAAAAGCGATTATTGGTCAAATGGGGTTTAAGTGAGATTTGAAGGGTGAGATCAATTGGATTTGAAACTAGGAAATGTGGGGAGTTTGTAGGTTCTAAAACAAGGGATTTGGAGTACAAGAGTGGGAGAACGGAGAGGCCAAACATGGGTAGTTCAGCAAAAAATTTTGCACTTAGGGCAAAAGTCAAAATGATCAAAGGTTCAAGATGAAGTGAAGGAGGAAGAGGGGGTGAACCCCTAGGCACCGCATCAACGTGTAGGAGCGCGTCCAAGGTCCAATGGACCTTTGGTTGGTTCCAAAATGTCCAAAACATCCATATGGAGGTCATTGTAAAATTTGAGGGCAATCTGATACTCCGAACTTAGTAAGGTGTGAAAAGTCTATTTTGCCCTTTAGGATCGATTTGACCTACTTTTTGAGGGATTTTGACCAAATTAATTTTGCATTCACTCTCAGATAGTTATTTATTGTATGTGTGAAATTCTACATAAAAATAACACTCCTATTTTTGGTAGTTTCGGATCGATACACTGCATCAGGGTAGGATTTTTTAGAATTCAATTTTAAATATTCAATACATTATTTATGATTGTCTAACATGTTTTAAATGTATGATTGAGTGTTTGAATATTGACTTGGGATTTGAACCTGAGTCAAGGTTTTTGAGTGCAATTTTTTGCACAAATGCACAAAATAATTGTATCGTTTGTATTGAATGAAACTCTAGGATCCTTTTGAACTAAACATAAGTGCACACAGGTTTGAGTGACAAAGTTTTACGTTCCAGTTTGAGACCGTGGAGGATTTCATTGAGTTTGTAAATGCCTGTGTGGCTTAGTTGGTCTTCAAACTTAGGTATCGAATTATGACTAGGGAGGTTATCTTCCTCAGGGTGCAAGTCTCCTAAAAGGTTGGATCATATGTTCGTATGGACCCTAAATGGTCTATTAGGATGATTGCCCGTCGGTGTAGCACTATATTGAAACTTTTGAACTCGTTTTTACAATACTATTTTGCTTAAATGTTACTATTTCACATGAAATGATGCTATTTCTCATTTAGACGCATCAAATACTCATTTTTCTTTTGTGCAGTCATGCTAGGCTATGTATTTTTAAACTCACATACCTAGAATTGAGTTATTCTACTAAATTGTTGATGCTCACCCTAGTTTCCCTCTTTTCAGATTAGCAGGAGGTGAGAAAGTATGTGAATAGTGGAATTGCGTCTTTCTTTGTTTATGTTAAATAGTGTGTGAGTTTGTAAAGCATGTAATTTTAATAAGTTGTATGCCTATATATTGAAATGTTACTTAGCATTGGACAAAGTAGTTCTGGTAACTGCATCTGATGTACGTTAGTTGAGCTTTTGGTAATGTTTGGATTATATGTTATGTGCGTTTTGACCTACTATATCACGTTGTGGTGTGTTAGTTACATTACATGCTTGTGCAGCAGGGGCAGCCCAACAAATCCGGAGGCCCTAGGCGAGAATATGAAGCGAGGCCCTATTAATAGCCAACAATTATTAAAATATATTCATTTAAAATCTATTTTTCTAGCTTTTTGAGGTGCAAAAATATTGATTAAATTTTTATTTTCAAGTTTGTTAATAGATATTTTTCAATAAATAATATAGTTAATCAATTTAATCTTTCTTGTGACATAGTTAATCGGAGATAAGATTTTATTAATTTAAATTTTGAAAAACTTCTCTCTGCTGAAACAATTTTTACTAATATTATTATCAATTTTTCTAAAGTTATACATGCATTTCGAAAATAATCTAATCATTTTATATGCCAGTTCGCTAAGTAAACTC